CCCCCTTTCCGCGAACGTCCCTCCTCATCACGGCCATTCAAAATATTTTCCATCGGGGTTATACCGGCGACAGACTCGGCAAACCATGGAGGTCTAGTAGGTTGCGGGTCAATTAAAAATTATATTAACCCTCGACTCTTCAACGAAATTTCTCACCAGCCTGTTTAGCTCTGCTCTCAAAGCCCGACCGTGTTCTGCGTTCCATCTCAACAATTTTTCATCACTTTAGTGAACACGGCTAGCGACCGGTAACGCGATCCTGCTCGCTGGGCGGCGACTCTAGGAATAAATATAAATAACGATAAATAACTTAAGAACATGTAAAACGAATGAGGTCCAGCAGAAGCCCAGACTCGCGCGAACGAGGGAATCGAGCGAGCGAGCGAAAGGAATTACGTTGTTCAACAACTCGCATGGAAAAAGGCCTTCTCTAGGTTTTTCTAGTCGGCGCTTAACACGTAAGTCATTTTTCATCATTTTTCTTATTCGCTCCACGCCACGGGGGGGTCTCTCGGCGAAGCGTTGTCGCGAGTCCACAAAACAACACCAGGTGAATTCTCAATTCACGTATTTGCCACCGGTTCGCAAATCGACGCCGTAGGCTGCGTGCTCGAGGGATAAAACAGTCACGCGAAACTCTCGGCACGCATCGGCCAGGTTAAAGCTTTGCATTTATGCAGCGAAACACGTAACGCCCGGCTAGACGGCAGCGAACGCCACGTTCGCCGAGTCTTCCTCCCCCGCTGCGCTTGCCCTTAGAGTTTCTGTATTTTTCAACTGGAGCATCCTCGAGTCTCGCAGCGCTCGACTTCGCTACGTGGCCGGTAGAGGCCTAGAAAGCAGTCTCGTTACGATACGATTTCCCGTAATTACTCGGTGGTCCGGTCTTAATTCGCGCATGCGCACTTCTCCACTACCACTGGGTCCTTCTTCTCCCCTCTTTCGCTCGCTCGCTCGCTCCTTAATGCTACGTACTAACTATATCTAGCCCTATCTCTCTCCTTCGATCTGCGCATGTACACGAGCTATACAATCGTATTTACAATGGTGCACAATTGTGAGCGTACCTTTAGGATTACGATTACGTAGGCGGAATACCGGCGAGGGATTCGTTGTAACGGTGTCAATCGCGTGTAAGGGTGCATCGCCATGTAACGAAAGGCCGTCGCTCGGCGTTGAAAGGAACGAACGGGCGACCGATTGCCGATTTGACTACGTGAACAAGAAGAAAAAAGGCTCCGCTGCTGCTTTACACGCGCAAGTGCACGAGGAAAAATAAAAAGCGTCTTTTTAACAACGCGGAAACTTCTTAAGCCACGGAACGATCTCGCATTTTGTTATAACAGTTTTTCTTTAGTTTTCTCACCTTGGTAGCACACTCTTGCATCTTTAGTTATCATTCGTCCAAACTTTCATTCTGTCCCACTCGCACGCTACCTTACGCTCTCGCGTTGACACCAACGCACGCATACATACATACTCTGTTTTCATAATTCTCACTGACCGCGAAAACGGCTTATTACGCTTTGGCGCGCGCGCGCTTAATGATTATGAAGAAATTTGAAAGATTCAGTCTTTTAGTGGTTAGCGCTGGCCATGGATATCTTCGTCACCTTGCGTTTCCCGGTTCCAGTCTTAGGTATAAAAATAAATGAAACCAAGTTAATGACACGTCTAGCGAATAGTTGGTTTGGCTTTTTGATTGTTCGTCCTCTTCTTCCGGTTTACTGCTTCCTCTCCCTCTCCGGGTTCCTTCAGCGACGACCGAGAGACACAGCCGCGGACGTCAGCCTCCTTGAGTTTGGGGATTTGTTTTTTATCAAGTCGTCATTTTCCTCTGTACCTGGGACCCACGTTTCACGATATCAGTTGGTCCGGTTGAAATTTTGGAATTTTCACTTTCACCTCTGAACTTCCTGTCGCACCGTCTCTTGGAGCCTTTTGCTCTCCTGGAAACTTCTTGTCGCTTGCAGTCCGAATGACGTATTACGAGACGGGCAGGGACCCTCAAAGGAATCTCTTTAAAGTATATTAATTCTGGAATGGTAAAGAGAGGAAGTACCATTATCCGTGCCGAATAGCTAACAAGTCACTCTTCTTCCGGTTCTGCCACGCGCGACCTTCCATCTGGAAACTCCCCTCCGCGACTAATGGATTACTTAATGGAAACAACGGTACCCGCGACTCACTCGTAGAACTTTCGTCTCGCAGGTATTAAGATATCAAGAAGTGCGTCCAATCAGGTACTTCCCTCTTTGCTGCTTAAGGATTAACGAGAGTTTCAGTTTGGCCCTCTTAAGTCGCTCTCTCTGTCCCTCCCTGCCGTTCAACGCCAAGGACTCGCTTGGTGTCTCACTTCACTGAGGTTGCAAAACCAGAGACGCCAAGTGCGACAAGATCATCCAGAAAGAGACTCAAGGCTCCATCCACGAGTTCGTCAATGTCAAAGGTACCCAAATTAACACGTGCGTCGATGAGGTCCCAGAACCGGAAGTCCCTCGAACCAGCCCGCCGGTCCATGACTTCCGTTCTTCCCTGCATCGGTCTCTTCATCCGGTAGCGTGTCTCACGGCGCGCTCGATTCTCTCCATCTTCTCCTTGGATATTCTTTGGTACGTTTCCTGTGCGTGGCACCAGGCCACAATCCTCCTCCATCTCTCCCCCCTCCCAATTTGTCATCCTCATCTCCATTGGCTCTGCTCCCGTCACTGTCCGTCCCTTCCAATATGTTTTTGGCATGAGCTTGCTGATTGCGTCCTCGACGAGTCACAATAGGCGTCACGGTGGCAGCTTCGCGTTACGTGTTCCGTGGACCATACGCGAAGCTGACCTCACGTCATGGATAGTCTGGATGCATCAGATTGTACATGACCGCGAAGATGGTACAGGCTGCGTAGACGCCGAGCGCGACCCACCAGAGTAGCTGCTCGTGTAGCCGTTGTTCGAAGTTCTTCAGGACGAGGAGGCCGATCGTCAGTCCTGCCAAGGCGCCGGTCAGGTGCGCAACGTAGGAGACGGGGGGTCCCATCTGCTCAGCCGCGTACCTGTCGTAGATGGCGAAGCCGACGTCCGCGCTGGCTGTAACAGAGGAACGAAAAAGAAGGAAATTACACTCAGCGCCACGACAACCGATCTTCCTTCATCGAGGCGTCGCGGTGCCCGGTACCCCGGCCCGTGGGTCCCACCCGCCTTTAGTCGCGGTCCCGACCCGGTTCCAGTTCAGAGCGGCTGCAGGCAGATGGGCTGCGACCACGAGGCACGGGAAAGCTTGGAAAAGAAAGGCGCGGGTAAGAGCGTTAAAGTGACCGAAGTACGTATACGTAACGAAGGAAGAAAATCCTTAGTAAAAGCGTCGGCGGGGAGAATTCGAGATATTTTAATTGCCGTCGAACCTTCTCTAATTGCCGTCACGTCCGCGTTCGCGATTCCCAGGCGGCGGATTTACCGAACCGTTCGAGAGGAATGCGGCTTCGTCGGCCATCGAGGTGGGATATAGCGGAACAGACGGTTGTGTTCGACTGCGAAAAAGAAAAAAGTCCGATTCGACGCGAGGCGTCGCATCGCCGATATGCCGTCGTCATTGGCATACCCGGTCTCTGTCCAATCAATCTGATAAACCCTTATATAACTAAGGAACTATGTGACCGGTTCATCGGTTTTGCAACTAATTTTAAATAAGAATTAATAGCCTCTCTCTCTTTCTATCTATAACTCTACAGCTCTCTCTCTCTCTATCTTTCGTTCCAAAGATCACTGATCTCAACCAAAGATCGACGTCGCGATCAGTCAGCAGGTGGAAGGCATTGCAAGATCGAAGTCTCGATTGTCGGATCGGTTACGCTGCCAATCAGTGGGGGAGTCTTGCGGCGCTCTGTGTCTACTTAACCGAAGCTGCGTCAAAGCCGTTCGGATACGGTACCGTTCCTCTCGCTCTTATCCTCATTCCCGTCCTCATTCTCATGCTTAACCTTCCGCTCATCCTCATTCTCATCGACAGCGTCAAAGACCTGCTCCCCCCATAATACAGTCACCGTGCACCAAAGCATTGAGTTCAAATTGATACGATTAACGGCTGTGCTGAGACTGATGACCAACACTGGACCATGTGACCTAAAACCCAATATGGGTTATGAAAATATTTGGGTGATCAGGTGGCAGGACGAAAGGGTTAAAGAGCTGGTCACCGTACGCGATGCACCTGCCAGCCTCGCAGGCAAATCTTTGCCCGTTATCGATTAATCGCTACAGATTCCCGTTAGTCGAGAGCGACGACGTTCACGTCGAATCGACACCAGAAATTCATTAGAATTCGGGAAGAAGAAAAGGAACCAAGGGCAGGACCCAGATGAACTCTTGAAAAAAAAGGAAGATAATATTTTTCGAATTCTTCGAGGATCGGTCCGATCGTCTTTTTCTCTGGTGGCTTCCAATTTGTCCCTACCCTCGTTCTATTTAGCGCCATCATACGCGCCAACCAAGAGGCGTACAAGAGAGTACCAGGAGGAGCAAGAGGAGGTGCCCCAAGACGAATGCCGAGAGAATTAAAGGCGCCTCCTTAGAATGCGCGACGCTTCTTTCTCCTTCCGGGCGTAATGTAAGTGCGAAGGTATCCAATTACTGAAAAAGCGCCGTGGGTCGTAACGGCTTACAAAGTGCCCGATTTTGCAAAGCCAGCAGGGAAAGTATATAGTCAAGGCGTTTGCGCGGACCCAGCCCGGGTGGTGCCAATGTGAGACCAGGATCAGGAAGGTGAGGACCCTCGTGAACGAGGACGGGACACTACACGGAGTAGCCGGCGTAAGGGAAATACCAAGCCTTGGTAGAGTCGGGATTCTTATGGGAGATGGAATAAAAAGGGGGAGGAAGGAGGGACCAGGGAGAATGGAGACTCCTAATCCCGTAGGACTAATCCGTACTGGGTTCGCCAGAGAAACTGGACTCCGTCTTGAGAGGAGCAAAAATATATTGGTCTTATCAGGGCATCATCCCAAGGCCAATTTCCCCAGAACGTATCCATATGAAAGGAATGATAATTCAGTAGCCAGGGAGATGCAGGATTTGACGTTTCAATGAATTATTCGAAGCATACGAGGAAGAGAGATAGATAAAAGTTCTCTTTCGTAAAAAGTTCACAGTGTCGCGGGAAAAGAGCTTTTCAATATAATCCACTGAATAGCTGTGGCTCTACCCCAAGTAAATACGTACAGTGGATCTCGGCTGTTTACAAATAGTAAACAGGAAAAGAGGTTCATGGTTGGTTTCATGGCTAAATTTTCCAATAACTACCAGAAACCAGACTTCTACGCTATATAGATATATTAATTTGGGACACGAAGAGCTATCTAGTACTTTTTTTTTTCCCTTGCCCAAGCAAATTCCCTATATTGGTCTTGTGCGTCCCAGTCAGCCTATCCGACGGGTTGCCGCTACCCTTTCTGGAGCCCGGCATCCCGCGCAAAAGCTCCTCCCTTTTCGTTCGAGAAATCTCATATCTTTTTCGATTACAAGCCGGACATCGCGCGACGACACATTTCACGATTTATATCCGCGCTCGTGTATCTCTAAAATCTAAAGGGCCCAGCTCGCCCGCGCCCGACGTCCACAACGGACGCGTCCGTTGCTCGTTTCGTAGACGCTGCGTCGGCGAAACATTACTCGCCGAATTACGAACGTGGTCGCCTATCTTTTAATTAAAAGTTCGAGCATATAGACCTCACGCCGTCCACTAGGATACTACTATCTACCTAACTAAATCCCATCCTGGAACATATCCTGCAACCTCAGATATCCTAGGGGGGACCAGTTAACACAGATTCCACTCCAATGTTACCTCTAGGAACATGGATGAAAGTTTTTACGATGGCTTTAATTTCTCGGTGCAATCATACAGACGATCCACGTGGTTATTAGGGATGAACCTGGATTTGGTCCAGAAGACAAAATCACAGCATCCAATACATTTGAAATCAAAAATTTTTCCCAACGGATTTGGACGAACCCAATGGATCGAAATATAATCATATAAAAATTTCCCAAAAAAATACCTATTAATTAAAGATACGAATTAAAAAAAAAACGTCTTCCAAGAGCAATAAGGAAAACCATAGATTGGAATAAAGTATTAATAACTGTTAAAAGACAGATATACCAATACTACAAGTTACGTCCAATACACTATAGCAGAGTACATTATATACAGGGGTCTCACGGTAGTAATACACCCAGCTAAAGATCATTTTACCATAGAAATAAAATCGGTACTTTTGAATGATCCTGTATTTATACTATAGCCATTCGATCGCGATAGTCGGCCAGAAAAAAAAACAACCGGACCCGTAAGATTTTTAAAGTCAATTTTCAAATTAAATCACGTCCGACCGGTTTCTCTTGAAAACAGGAAGTAGCATACACAGCGTAAAACTTACCGATAATGAAGATCCCGATCAGTCGAACGATCCCGAACTCCATGTTGTTGTAGTTGAGTAAAACGTTGGCGAGGTGGGCAGCGAGGAGGGCGTAAACACCACCGCTGGCTCCCACCAGGTACACGTCCGTATCGAAGACCGACGTGCCCAGCGAACCTAAAAGCACACAACGAGAAAAACGGTTGCGATCAGCGATTCGGCATTTCAATGCAAGGCAGGCGCTGTATTGTATTGGATAAAAGTTCATCCCGAATCATCGACGATTCCTCCTAGCCCGTCCACGTATACCAGCACGTGCGCTTAAATCCACGATGAGAACCAGATTAAATAGCATACCGAATTTACCACTGTGACTTTTCCACGTGCAACCCTTACCACGAGGAATATTTAATTCTAATCTATTTACTCCTCCCGTCCAGCCAAGGATATCCTGCGTCAAATTTGTCCAATGGAATCAGTCATAGGCCATAGATATATCTCTTCGTCTTATCCCCGCAGCCTTTCGAATTCCCAAACCCAGAGTACTGGTATGCGATGGAACGAGTGCGAGAGAGAGAACCGAGTCCGTCGCGGTCCTTAAATTTATGGCATCGGGTTTGCGAGAGCCCGTTGCAAAACCGCAATGAGAAGCAGGCGTTTCCCGCGGTTCCGTTGGTAGGACTGCCGTCTCGCAGGTAGATGTAGTACGCAATAAGGTGGAGTAACGGCGAGCAGCTCTGTCTGCTGGAGCATCACTTATTAATGGTTACGTCTCTTGAACTCGGGGTCTACCCCTAACTTCAGAGAGACAGAGAGAGGGAGAATGCGCAGGTAACAAAGACAGTAAAAGAGGGACCCCGAACCAGGAACGTTCGCCATAACTGTCGAAGACCATTCTGACCCGTGTAATGGTTTCAACGATTCTCATACGCGGTTGACGTGTCGATGACGTACCGGAAATAAGTCAGCGAGGAGGGGGAAGAAATTAAAGAGGGAGAACCTAAATGACAAATGACAGTAATCTGACTTCCGATGAACCCCTCAACGTTGCACACCACCCTTGCCCTGGGTCAACCCCTCTGCTACCACTCCGCCTTCAGGGGGATCCTCGTCGACGCAATTCACTCGGCAAACCTCTTTGTCCCCGAAATTGTGCGAGTTGCCACGAAATATTTTTTTCTTTCACTCCCAAATTACAGTCACTCGGTTATACACGCAGTAATGGCTCAAAACTGCCAACCGGAAGTGCATTGTGAGAACGTACTAGCCGCGCTACTTTTACGCCGATTCGTTATATTTTTTTTTCACGTCTCGTACCCTGTTTTTGGGAATTTCCGTAGTTTCGACTTCGTAGGGGAGGG